GGCGAGCACCGGGAGACGGGAGCAGCAGCGGGCGAGTGGGGACCAATCCTGCCCAGCTTTTAGCACAGGGTTTAAATATTCAAGCTCTCTCCTTGGCTTTAGGGGATGCCAGGACACAACGGTTTGCCGGGACTGCCCGGACCAGCCGGGGACCTGGTAGGTAGCAGCTGTGCCTGCGGCAGTTCCTCCCACCACTGCCTGCCCCCCGGCGCGGGGACCGTCCCCTTCCCTCCTGCATCTCTTCCAGGGACCACTGGCTGTCATGGCCGAGAGGAACATCGAGGTGCTGAAGGTGAGAGCGTGGGGACAGGGCACCTTCCCGCTGTGGGTCGTGCCCGGGGGACCCCAAGCACCTCAGGGTGCCCCTGACTCCCCGCCTCCTCCCAGACCCTCTGCGGGGACTGCACCCAGCTGCAGGCAGCCTTCGAAGCACCCAGCGGCGTCAAGGGGGAGAAGGGGGACGGGGGCATGCCGGGCGCCCCTGGCAGCGAGAGCTGCGCCCGCGTGAGTATTGCCCACCTCCAGGTGGGAATCCCGGTGCCCAAAAACCCCTGGTCCTGCTGGGTCTTGGCGTGAAGTGCAGAGATGCTCCCGAGCCCCCAGGCATCAGCTCACGTGGCAGTCACGCAAAGCAGCAGGCGCTTGCAGGGCTGGGCACGCTCTGGGCACACTGGTCCTACCCGGCATGCAGGCAGGCTCCCATGCACAGCTCCCACCTGCCCCGATGGGGTCCGCGGGGAGGGTGGCAGGTTTGTCTTGTGCAGGGGCCGGTGCGGGCTGGAGCAGTGGGTGCTGAGCACCCGAGGGGTGCAGGATGCAGGGCTCCGTGCCCCACGGTGCCCCGCGGCTCCTCCAGTACACCCCTGCAGGGGATCTCTGGGTGATTCCTGGGTTTTCTTCCAGTGCTTTGCCCAGTTCCCAAGAGCGGAGGCGGCTCGGGTGAGTGAACCGTGCTGCCTGGCACCCTCTCCCTGCCCCTGGGGCTGAGCTGCTACCCCGGTCTGGCTCCCTGGTCCCCAGGGTGCTGCAGGGATGGTCCCAGCTGGGGCAGGACATGGCACCGTACCCACCTTGCGGGAGCAGCTGGGGCTTTGGGGAGCGGAGGTTGCTTCGGGGGCACTTGGCGGGCCTTGGCAGGGCTCAGCTGCGGGCAGCAGCCAGAGCTGGCCCCAGCTCCTGATACATTCCCGCTCCCTGCAGGGTGACAGCCCTGACTCGGACTGTGTGGGTGATCCCGGGCTGCCGGGTGCCCCGGGCATCCCTGGCGAGAGAGGAGAGCAGGTGGGTGCGCTCCCCGTCTGCGGCGCTGTCCCGCTCCTCCGGGCCCTCCCCGCCATCCCAGCCCTTCCCAGCGGCCGTGGGGGCCATGACTGGTCCCTCAGTGCCCCTTGGAGCTGGAGCGGGGTCAGGTCCCTGTCCCCCCCTGCCGTGGTCACGCCTAATGCACCCGTCTCTCCCCAGGGCTCACCGGGACTGCGGGGACCCCCGGGGCCACCTGGGCCCATCGTAAGTACCCCTGCCCGGGGCGGGGGGCTGCCGGGCTGCACGGGCATCATGTTATGGTCCTGGGGGGGTTTGGAGCCCCCCACTGCAAGTTGCCGAGGGGACCCGGCGCCCTGCCCTGAGGCCATGGTGATGGGCAGAGGGC